AGAATGGTAAAAAAAAATTACTTTTAAGGGTGTATAATTATGCAAGTTCACATGTATGTACAGTATGTAATGTTTTATTCATTATTTCAAGAAATACAATGGAAATTTAATAAACTGTTTTTTAAATTTCAAGATTTCAATATTTGACATTTTAAAAAGTAAAGTTCAAATTCTTAAAAAATACAATAAAAATCCAAAAGAACAACACCAACAATAAAAACAAGAAGTTAAAGAAGTATTTTAATTACTGTTTCCACATAATAAATCACATAAATAATACTAATCTCTCCCAGTGACCAAAAAACAACAACAAAGCCTTCATGGTATGTGGCCTGATTAAAGTATAATAAACTTTACATAACAGCTCTGATATCCTTAACAATACTGAAATAAGGAAAAATGGAAGAAAAAAATAGTTAAAACTAAACAAGAGCAAAAATTTGTTAGATTTACAAAAAAGTTTTGTAGCTCTTACCAAAACAACCTAAAAAAAAAAAGTCTTTAAAGACTTCAGCGCTCCATAAGGCATACAAAAAAACAAAAACAAAAAAAAACATGAAATATATTTGTTTACATTGTAGATTGTATTATTTTTCCCTAAATTTCCACAAGTAAACTTTTTTTTTTCCCCCACAGTGACAAACACTCCTGACCTGACAGTCAAATTTGGAGGTCAGAGGTCAAAAACAGAAACTGCAAACAACCAACCATATTTTTACGTGGCACAATTATGATTCAGTTAAAAAAAAAAAAAAGTCCATATAAACTGTAATCTTCATCTAATTACAAATAAATCAATCAGCTGATTGGGGAGCATTTAACATACCGGCACTTTTCTTTAAGGCGGAAATAAATGGGAACAGATGAAAGATTTCGCAAACGGATGCTTTGCTAATTCTGCACCAGTTCGACACTTTGGTTAAGTGTTCCTACGTTTTGTTTGCCTAGATGTAAAAAAAAAAAAAATACAGTAAGTACAGCTTCATGCACTTTTTGCCTTGCTGCTCTTTTACAAAGTAGAGCTAAAAAAAAGTATACTTTTTAATCATTTTCAGACCGTCCTTCATCCTTTCTCTAAATACATCCATAGTCTCCGTTAGGTCTTCCATTTGAATAATATATATTATTATGCTACTTTTGTCCAGTTCATTAAACCTTTTAACATTTCTGTAGTGCAAAGAGAGCTTCAGGTTTATTGTAGTGCATACATGCTGTAGCATAAATATTATAGCATGTATTGGTGTCAGGATGAAACGTGGGTAAACTATTATGACTGCAGCAGGAGTTAGGAAGCTATCGTCCATAAAATTTGACACCAGAACATCTGAGCAGCCAGGCAATTCCCTCCAGAAAGCCAGACAATGATTCTGCCACTGTATCCTGCACCTGATTAAAAACAGAAGGAAACACAGTTTGAACAAGATGATAAACTGGCAGAAAATAGACGTAGAAGGCTCTCAGAGGGTTAAAGATTCAGTAATTACCATCCAGCGATTGGACAGCTGGGGGAGGCCCAGTCTGTTTGCCATATAAACACACGGAGTTCGACATCTGGCCTCACCAATTCCTTCTACTTGTTCTCTGGAGATGCAGGAGAGCACCAGAAGAGGTTTTGATGTGGATTCCAGAACACAGTTCAGCACAGCTCTTATCTGGGCCACCTCAGACTTCCCATCCCCTGCTAAACAAAGTTTCCATGAACATATTTTGTTAAATGTTAGTCAAAAAACAGGAGCTGCAAAAACAATTAAATGTTCTCTCACCTCTACCAGGCTCTGCATTAGCTACATAAATGAAGCCATCTACCACTTGGCACACCTGCTGCACCTGAGGAGCAGGGATGTAAACGGGGCCGCCTGAGTCATCGGCTCCATCCAAGATGAACAGCTTATTACTGATGCTCTGCTGCTCCATCCTGGCTCGTTCTCTCTCCGCCCTGCCGACACAAACTCACAACTTTAACAAATCGAACCGTTTCCATACTAATATGCAAAACAGAAATGGTTATAAATAATTGTAACTCGTGTGGTGAGGAAAACAAAATGCGTACCTGTTTGTTGAGTACAGAGTCAGAATGTTAAATTTGTGTTGGTTGTTGAACATGTAACTGATTCCTGACCCAATGCCTAAAGAAAAAAAGTGTCAGATTGAGTTTATTTTAGAGTATCTTGGTTTACAGTAACCAGTAAGCAAGATCAATACTGCCACCAAGTGGTGAATAACTACACCTAGAAGTAGTTTTTTTTTTTTTTCTGTTAATGAACTCTGATCATCATGATGTGATCAAATATGTCATCTATTGCTCCTGTTTGAACGTTTGCACACAAAGTTCCACTTCTAAAGAGTTGTGCAGACTTTACACTTTGCTATGACACTTATAACGTTAACAACAAAGTGAATTTGTGTTACACCGTTTATCTGTCTGTTTGGAGTGCTGGACACAGGTAGCAGGTCTGGAGCACGCATGAGCCTTGTGACTAAAGAGACGTCTAACTGTTCCATCCCAGGACCAAACATGGCGTAACGAGGCTCAGAAGAGGGGACCAGATACTGAAGAAACGAGGTCACAAGCTCGTACGCTGGCCGTGAAGGTAACCACTGCTGTCGGCACGATGGACAACCTTTTAGGTACCTGCAGATGCAAAACCCGGATTCAGAAACTTTTGTAGTATTTTGTTACCAACTGACTTTAAGCGAGAGAGCTCACTCTGACATGTAGTCAAACTTCAATTCTTTCTCTTTCTCTTCTTCTCTATCATCCAAGCTCTCATCTTCGCAGACTAGTGGAGCATCCAGCAGCTCCAGGTTGGGCATGCTCAGATCATCAATGGAGGACCAATTTGGCATGTCCCGCAGAAGGAAGTACCTCCACAATAATGGATCTCTCACCATGGCCCTCCAGTACTGACTGGTGGCCCCCAGTTTGCAGATATCCACAGGAGAGAGAAAAGTCATGATCAGGAATTGCAGGTCCACCTACAGGAAGAGGAATATGTTTATTAGTAGTTAAAGACAGAGGTAGGTCCTTCACTGAAAGTTCATCTGAACAACTGGCCCGAAAGGTTGGAATTGAGGTTACAAAGTTATGCTTTTTCCAAAGATTTGTCTTTTTTTATTAAAAGATCAATAATCTGCAGACAAGCTGACATGCTTCCTGATGACATTTTCAAGAATTGAATAAAAAAAAAAACCAAGAAAACAAACCCGACCAGTCAGAGCTATAGGAGAAATCCCTAGCATCAATCACTGCCAGCTCAGCAGTTGCCATGGTTACCAATACCCAACATAATGTGCTGAGTACCACAATAAATCTGAAGCACAGCAAAGATGTAGGCGATAGACCCTGCAAAATGTGTAGTTTCACATTTTCTAAAAATTGAAACAATTATTTTATCATTTAAATATAAAAATGTAAAAAACACAGTATGCATCAAAAGGTTTCATTATATTAAAAGCCCAATTTAATTGTGAAAGTTAGTTGTAAAATTAATTTCCAGAACAATTAGCTACTGTAATAATAAATAAAAAAATATAATAATTAAGCTACTAAAAATCAGATTTTGGAAACGTCTTTTCCAAATGATTTCTCAGGTTGTTTCAACTGAAAAATGTCAAATCTATAAATCATAATTGTTGGATTATTTTTTTTTTACCTGAATGAGCAGAACCTTGATGTCAAATCTATAAGATGACAGATATGGGGCTTCATCTAAATATGTTTTGTCTGTCGTTCAGAAGATTTAGACAATAACAAACTTAAAAAACAAACAGATTTTTCTCAAATTGCTGTATATTCAGGTACAAGTGGATGTAAAACGAAGGAGGGCTTTAGTAAAACATTAAACACACGTTTCTGTCAACTTTTCCTGTGTTCAAATCCTAAATTTCTTTAAATTTTTATTTTCCAAACAGTTCTTATAAATCACATTTTTGGTAGCCCATGAATGCATAATATAAAATATATCCCAAATCATATAAATCATTTGTACTTTATAAGTTTGTCTAAAACAGGTATTGTAAATGAGGACTAAAGAATAACCTGTGAATGAAAATAAAGTGCCGTTTTCTTAACAGGTAAGTTTTTTTCACTGGACCCTCCTCAACAAAGGACAGAGTATTTCACAATCAAGAGTTTTAACGTACAAAATATGCTGACAGGTGCAACACCTGGCTGTATGAAACATTTAACGTGACATTAGATGTCATAGTCATTATTGCACTAACAACAGTACCCCTGTATAAAAAAATATATTTTTTCAGAGCCAACTGAACAACTTTCTGAAACAACCAAGGCTTGATTTGTACTTGCCCTACCGGTAAACTGTCCAAGTGTCCCGGTGGAGGTCCATCTTCTGCGTCTTCAACTGGCAACAAATCACTTCCGGAAACTTTCTGTGGAAACCATCGATCTCTGAACCGTCTGAGGCTGCGGATCACCACAGACTCCAGCTGATGGATCCTCTCAGACATCACTGAGGAATTTATTCAGCGACGAAACGAATCCACAATAGTCTGAACCGTGTGAGAAACAACTTTGACGTTTCCTGACCTTTCGCAACTTCCTCATCAGTGGCAGTTTGGAGGCATTCTGGGTAATGTAGTTCAGTAATGAAAAAGAGTCGGACCCACCGCAAAAAAACCTTTTACTTGAAACAATGCGTGTTTATTGTCAACAGACATTTAAAAAAAACCTTTTTTTTTCTCAAAACAATGTTTCTCAGTTGTTACACTACTATTATTCAAGTTGAGTATAAGAAAAATAAACGGAAAACACTTAAAACCATCACTTTTCAACACTTTTCTTTGCCTTTCTGTTTAGACTGTAAACACGTCACCCTGTTAAATCTTAAAATGTAAAAATGGCATCAAAACAATAAATAAAGGTTACTGTGCAATAACTGACATCCTGCTGGATTAACTTTAAACTTCTAACAATCTTAAAATTTAAAGATGGTAATTTTCTTAAAAATAATATGCTTTTAATAATATTAATGTTATTATAACACATTCTTAGAGCAAAGCAAGTGCCCCAGGCAACAGTCTGGAATCAGAATGATAACTGCTTTTTCAGCAGAATAGGATATATTACCAAGTAGCCTTTCTTTTAGCCTTTAACATCTACATTTTTATTCCAGTTCCAACTTCTTCATTTATGTTTTGTCTGGGGCCTTTTGGCATAGGATTTTGTAGCCTCTAGATGCTCACCAAAAAACACCTTTCTTCACATCCACCTGCTGCCTGCACCTCTCCTTAACCTTAACTTTACATCCCTTTAAAGGGCTCCATTTAAACTGGACATTGACATGTTTAATACTGAACTTAAATCTGTGTCTGAGAGGCATCTTCAACAGAGGAAAAAAAAAAACATTTATTGTAAAATATTCAGGATTTCCTTGGCATTTTCTGTGTTCCAGCCCTGGCCCTGCAGAGGGCCCTCACAAGCACAAACATATTTGTTCAGGATCTGTGTACCGATGTCCCGAAACTGGAGGCTGTCTTCTTTGGGGTCTGCAGTTTCAGCACTGCAGTCTTCGTACTTGACTGCCCAGAAACACATTTCCCCGATGTACATCATCGTTAGCAGGTGGGTGTCTGAGAAGATGCCTTTTAAAAAGCAGGTGATAAACAGCATAAAGTAAAGGCACTTATATTTGTTTTTGTCAAGAGTTAAAGACAACACATTTACCTTCAGATAACATGCTGGCTGTAGCGCTGTCATGAAGCACCACCCCATCACTGAACTTCACAGAGTTTCTCACTTGCAGCATCCGCATCAGATAGCGAACGCCTTCCTGAATACACTGGGTCAAAATGAGCATTAAGCTTCCAGTCAGTAAAGGTCAAAGAATTACCTGGAACATGTTCTGATGCACGCTCAATAATCCAGGTAGAGAAATATAGCAAGGATGAGTCAGCTCCTCAGGAAGACGAAGAATCCGTCCAGAGGACCTGACAACCTTGCTAGAAATAAAAACTATTTTCTTTAATTAACTAACTTTGATGTCATTAGTAAAGCAAATTTTAACAAGTTAACTTAGATCACTGCAGTGTGGTACCTTCAGGAATGTGTCCTTGTTTTTCTTGATCCACTGTTTTCGTTGATGAAGAGTGTGACAGTACATATACAGCAGAGCTCCACGTCTCCAGTAGAGGCATTCTAACAGCTCTGTGCCCAACACAGACTGCACCTATTAAAAAACAAAACAAACAAACAACAACAAAAAAAAACATTACTCATGCTGTTGAAGTGATAACATGTCATTAAACTGCATGTGCCGCAAGAAGCAATTTCAGAAGTAGAAAAGATTCTTATTATAAGAATCACCCAGACAAAAAAAAAAAAACATACAAAAATCTTGTACTGAACTACTAAACGTTTCCTCCATAAACGGTGCATCATGTACTGTAACTAAGCTCACCTCTTGTCCTGGTGCAAGTCTTGCCACCAAAACCTCTGGCTCAGTTAGGTCTTGCAGCAGCTGTTGAATTTTAAATGGTGAACAGTCCTCAGGGAACTCCTGGTCAACCAGTTTATTCTCCTCATAAAAAGTGATGTCAAGAATCACCTAGATCACAAAAAGACAAACATGGACCCACATATAGCATTTAAGAAACTGTTAAAACAATATATGTCAATCATTTTGGATTCTACAGATGCAATAGCTGCTAGGAAACTGTAAACGCAGCTAAAGCTGAAATCAACACTTAAGAAAAACAAACTAGGTTTTAACATTTGCAGATCCCTTTCAGTAAAACATTGAATTGATGCAGTCGCATAAAAAAAATAAATAAAAAAACGAGATGTGGTGTATGAATTTAGGATGCATTTGTCTATTCACAAAAAAACTGACACATGGTGTTGAATGAACTAAGACATGATTAAATCAGAATACTTTATTAATCCCAGGGGGAAATCTACTAAATGTCCAACTTTTTGATTTTTCCTGGAATAGTCGAGATAAAACAAAATCATTTTCCTCAGTGCGGTGCATCTTTTTCCCCACCTCCTTGATTTGACATAATGTGAATGTAGTCACATTGACTCCTAAA